TACAAAAATAGTGACTTTAATGACTTGGTCTTAAAAAGGGTGACTAGCTTGAAAAAAGAGACCAAGCCACTAAAAAGTGACTCGCTACCAGCCCTGCGGTGTAATTTTGACGTCTTCTCGAAAGAGTTTCATATTTTTGACCAATACACAATAACTGAATAATGAAAATGATTAATTTCGAATATCCGTTTAGTACAAGTTTAATGCAAATATTATTTGACAAAAAATATGTATTCCAAAATATATTGCCTAAGACACGAAGTCAATGAAACGACGCATATTGGAGTTATTACTTTTGTTCCACATGATTGCCTTCCTGAATCTCTATGCAATGGTTGCCCAAGCATTCTTACAACGTGTCCCACAAATTGTACCCCCTTCCAGCTTTAGCCATTTTTCTATTAACTCCGTTAATTATCTTTTATAAAACCTTTGAGAGTAAAATCTACGTCCCTTACCTACCCTTCAATTCTACTTATAACACATCCCCTCAAGGCAGTTTCCTTTTACCACGTGTCCCTACAAATCTTCGTTCTCTGGATCTCCGCACATCACGTGCTTCCATTCCAACCCCGCGTCTTAAGTGGGCCCTACACGATTGCTTCTATTGACAATAATCGTATTGTCAATGCAATTCTATATTGACAATACTTCTGTATTCACATGGCATCGATATAGAATATATTGACAATACGATTATTGCCAATAAAAAGCAATCGTGTAGGGTTCGCTTTACAGCCACACAACTGGACACAGTGTATAGATACAGCTTCTTCCCTCAGGATGTGTGTTACATGTATTTGTCTGTAATCCGCAGTGAAATTATTTTCGGCATAACCGAAAAACCAAAAAAGGGTGTGTTCGCCTGCCCCTCCAATCAGCAGCAGCAGCAGCAGCGGTGTGTGGTTGTAGCGATGAGCGAACGATCAAAGATAGCGCTGAACATTTTCGGGGCCCGTCGTCGTCGGCCTAGGTAACGGCAAACACGTGCCTCCTCGCTCCGTTGCGTCGATGTCACTCGCGTGTGAGTCAAGTGGTGAGGTGCATTGACCCCGTTTCTTGGTCCTCCTCTGCCTGCGGGATTTTTTGCAATGGTGTAGGTTTAGAATAATTTACGATTACCTACCTACGTTGTTGGTTTTTTTTTTTCGGGGGGAAAAGGATTTTCATTCATGATTGAGAAGGAACATGATTGTTTTTAAACTGTTTTATTTGCTTTTATTACCGTTTTTCCTCTTTTTCTAAAATGACATAAAAATCAATTAAATAGGTTTTGTAGCTTAGTTTTCCATTAATTTGGGGATTTTTTTGAATACTGATAATATTTTTATTTTTCTTCTTCTTGTTAATTATTAAGTTTTACATATTTCGCTGCTGTTGTCGCTTCCGCTGCTTTCCGATGAATCTCCGTGTTGTGTGTGTGTTTTTTTTTCTTCTCTTGCTTGCGACCATTGAATGTAAGTAAAAATAAAATGTTGATACATGCTTTTCCCATCAGTGTGTGTTTTATAAAACTTCAATTTTCTCTATACAATTTGCCATTAATATAGATTTGTTTTTACTTCTGTTAGGGGTACTGAAACAAATATATTCTTTAGTTTTCTGACTGACATTTGTTTGAATGGGTTGATTAGCTGTTTTGTTTTTATTTTCTTTCTAGCGGGATCGACGTTCCGGTTGCCGACAGCCGAGGGGTTCTTCTGTAGCATTTTCTCAATCTCAGGGTGGGGAAATGTCTCTCAGTTGGGGGGTAATTTTCGGATCTAAATAAGCGTATTTGTTTTTCACGAGTGAGAAATTTTCCTACTTGTTAGTCGTCGCACTACTATAGCACAGAGATTGAGAAAAGCGTCGTTTATTTTTCTTGCTTTGCATCTTGAGACCCCCCCTCGTTCGGTGCGGAGCGGTGTTCGGTTTTTGGCGTCGATCACGGCCTACTCTGGTGGTGGTTTTCTTAGCATTGCATAAATGTCATTCTTTTGTTAGTTTGTAGTTGTTGTTGTTGCAGTTGCGGTTGCTGTCATCGTCTTCTAACACATGGATGGAGATTAGTTTTGTTGTTTGTTTTGTTTGTTTGTTTGCCACTGCTGTTCAATAGAAAGCAGGCAAGTCAAATGGGGTCTAGAAGTGTGTGGTAAACAAAACAATAAAAGTGTCTGCTTGTTGATGTCGAAAAGATATACGGTAAACAATTGGGAGATGTTACGTCCTTAAAAAGCGTCATCTTGGTGTTTCTCTCTTTTTTCTCAGACGTGTGCGCCCACACACAATGGACTGAAGTGCAAATGATTGATCGATTGGTTTGTTTATATCTGTTAATGTATTTTCCTTATGTTTTGCTCGTTGTATTCGTTGACGTTTCGACTCACTTTCTTGCCGTCTCCCGCCCGGGTTACCCTTACAGATTAGTCGGTTATTGTTCTGGCTCTGGAAGTCGTTTCTCTACGTATTATTCCGGGCATTACATCTTCATCTTCTTCATCGACGTCGTGTCACATCTGATTTGTTCTGTTTACATGTTGCGCGCTGAATACAAATGCTTCGCTTACATTGAGTTTTTTAAAAACTTTACATCCAGTCTCATTGTTTACCAACAGTTTTTCTTATGTTCTTTTTTTTATCATTATTATTTTTGCTGTTTTCGGGGATTATATGCTTGCTTTCGGTCAATATTTTGCCTAGTAAAATAACAGTTTTCTTTTCCTGGTTGCCTGCGCTCGCTCTCTCAAACGTGGGGTAAAATTGCGGTATGTTTTCCTGTAAATGGATTTTGCTTGTCCTGTTTGTAGAATGGGAGATTTTTTCGTTTACTGTATATGGCTACATCGCGTTGAGAAATGAGTGTGATAAATCTGGGACAGATCTCCGCCTTCACCACTGCAAAGGTTTGCTTTCCTTCAATGAATGATAATAGAGTAGTTTGGTTTTTTTTCCGTTATAATAATATGCAAATATAACATGTATCTTATAATTTTCTTTAATTTTCTTACTTTTTTCTTGATTCGAATACATAAAATTCAATATCCATTACTAATGACGAGTTTGCTCACCTTGCTTTTGCATGTGTGTGTGTGTGTGTGGTATTATGCAAATCTGCGAATTTTCGGTTCGTGTGTGTGTAGGTGTGTGCGTAATTCAAGTTCGAAAAGAAAGGTTTAACCATTTTTCTCGCATGACCCGGACAAGTGGGCTCTGCTCGGAAATTATTACACATATATGCACTAAACGTGATCACATAGAGAACTAACCATTTTTTTTTGTTTTGCGCGTGAGAGTACACTTTGAGATATTTGTGATGCATGCTTTTCCTTTCCATTTGTTTACGTTAAAATTTGTAAAATTGATTCGATTCAAATTTGTTTGTATGGTTGTGTGAGTGTGTGTAAAGCAAATGAGACTGAGAGCTGTCATTCCGTTCGCGTAGTGCGTGCCAAGTTTGCTCACCTTCCTGCCGACTAACCTTGGCTGATTGTTTTTTGGTATCTGTCAAACGAATGACATTCCTGCTCAAAATGGCGACTGCTGCTGCTGCTGCTTTTCTGATGATGCTTTTGCTACAGCTTTCCGCGCACGCGCACAATAATTGATGTAAATGCATTGTTAAATTACTTCCCCTTAAACATATATGCTGCGTTTTGAATAATTTATTTTAATACAATATCTAATCAATAAAATTTCGACTAAAATGGAGGAAAATAGTTTTGTTTACGCGTAAAATCATTGATTACATTTCCATTTTTGGTTACTTTGCGCTACTAAATTTACGTAGGTTTTGCTTCGGTTGACTAATACTTTAATTTACTCGCCCCCGCCGGGTCTGGCTGGGGAACGCCCTTTTTGTTTACAGAATTGATTTAAAGTAGACTTGAGAAATAACAGAGAGTAGCCTGAAAATAGGAATCTAAACTAGGATCAAAGATCGCTTCTGTGCGTTCCGGTTGTTTTTTTGTTTTGTGTTGTGTTTTGCCTTTCTTCCTTCCTTCAATGCCTACTACGCATTTCTTGTTTGTTGTTGTTGCTGTTGTTGTTGTTGTCGTCCGTTTTGCTGTAACTGTCACACAAGACGGCCTCCGTAGGTTAGGTTTTTTTTTGTTTTCGGTCTTGTTAAGCGCAATTGTCTCGTTAGTTTTTCTTCACCTTAAACTTAGTTCCACTAATTTAAATTTAGTTTAAAAAATTAATCACGAATATAAACATTGATATAAGGGATGAGAGAAAAAACCCACTGAAGTAAAATTTCACTACCAACATTGTTTTAAGAGTATTTTGTTTGTTGAATATTTTTGTTCATAGTAGACGTCAAATTTGCTTAAATTCAATTTCCTTCTCTGGTTTAAACGAGTACGAGTCACGAAAAAGTTTTTGTTTCAGTTTACTCCTTCCGCTTTGCTTAAACACTAAACATAACACTAAATCAATTGCAGTACGGTACATTTTCTTTCTTTTTTTTTTGTTTCTTTAATTTCACATTTCTTCACTAGATTTGTCACCTTTTTCTTCTTTTTCTCGAAAGAACAAACGTCAGAAAACAAAGTCAAACACGAGAATAGAAAACCATTGTTAAATTAGAGAGTGACTAGAATCGGTTTACGTGTGGGTGTGAGTCTGTGTAAGTCTAATTATCAGGTGTCAAAACAAACGGCTGTATATGTGTGTGTGTGTGTGTGTTTGTGAGAGTATGTCAATGTGTTCGTCCCTTTCGCTTAACCCTTTCTTCCGCCTCCTTTTGTTGAGCGCTCTTTCGCTTATGCATGTATTCGTTTGATTAGGGTGTAAGAAAGTGTTTTCTTCTTTGAATTTTTCATGATTCTTGCTAGGAAAAGGGGGAACAACTACATAGAAAGATAGAGAGCGATAGATGTTCGATTTCTTTTTCGATTAAAAAGTACACAGTTAAAGAAGAGTTAAGATTAATACGGCTTAAGAGAAGTTACTTAAAAAATTGCATTTGCGTTGTGGTTAGGTTGTGATGTTTTAAAAATTCAAAAATCCATCGATAATTAGCGTTTACTTGTGTGTTTACCGTTTTGCGTTAAGTTTGTATAATATTGATTAAATAAATTATCTGCTTGAATAAATACAATATGAGATTACAATTATAAGGTTAATCAATTAAATGAACTTATTACAACTTCCCATTGTTTTTGTCATCTTCATCGCTTTCCTCCTTAAAAGTTACGCGTTGTTTATGATTTCATTTGTTTTCTTCTTCTTCTTTTTTTTTTGGTTGCTTTGCTGTGTTTTATATTCACGTCATATTGAAACATTCAAGAATAAATTAGTATATAAATAAATAGTTTTTTGTTTTTTTTTGCTTTATTTAGATTAGCTTCAATTTTAATTACGAGATCATTCAGCTTTCGCCAAGGAAACGGTTTGCGCTGTGATTGCGGCAATTTTCTGTCGCGCGGCAAGCCTTGCGAACGCACCGCCCACTGCGCCCGGTCCCCCGTGTTCGTTTCGCTTTCATCAATTTGGCTAATATTTATTTAATATAGAGATAGTACCATTTCTAATACATTATTGCACATTTATATTTGTTTTCTTAGGTTCCTTTTTGCTTTCATTTTTCGTCTTGTCAGAGAGTAAACATTGAGCGTTCCGTAAAATTCGCTAATTTTTTAATTCGTCTTAAGAGAGCGCGGGACCGCTTGGGCAGCAGTAGGGGGTAGGTTCCGTGAGTCGCCGCCAGGTGGTGCTTGGTTTGACAGCCGGTTCGCGCCGAACGTGCCTCGGCAAAAGCTAATAACAATTAATTCATTTTTTTTTTCGGTTTTTGAGTTTTAAATGATTCTGCTATTTGTTTTCTTATGCTTTTCAGTAAGTCGGCTCTTGAGTTGAAGAGATATCTGCTTGATTTTCTTTTCTTCTTTCGCTAGTTAGGAAATATCAAATTAGTTTCTGTGTCTTCTATATACAATATTTTTGAAATATTATTGCACCTTTCTGTTGTTTCACTTCGTCTTCGTATATTTTCCTTAATAAATTTTTGTTATAAGAGTATTCCATTGATTCACTTGATATCTTAATAACTTTACGAATGATATTTCCTTCTCTTGTGTTGTATATTCGGTTGGGTTCGGGCGTTATTTTCAACCGTCAATGCATGCGTTCAAAGTAAATCAGAATTCTCGGGAAAACAACACAGGAGACGCTACTGTCCTACGCTGAATATTTTGTTTTTCGTTCTATATAAGGAACAGGTGTCTTTTGAAGTAATTCCTAGGAAAATGAGTTGACAATGTGTGTCCGTGTTTGTGTGTATTCTTCACAGGGGAGGAGTTAGTAGGAGAAGGAGAAGGAGGAGAAGGACGGGGGTTGCATGTGTGTGCTGCAATCACGTGGGATTCATCTTCAAAAAACCTTATTTAATGGGAAGAATACAAACTTAGAATTTTTCCCAGTTTTAGTTCGTTTTCGACTTGGTGTTGTTCGTCTTGAAGCTGACCTGTAGTACCCGGTTGCCGAGGGTGTACCCGTTGAGGGACTGGACGGCAACGACGGCTTCGTCGTAGTTGGTCATCGTGACGAAGCCGAAGCCCTTGCACTTGTTCGTCTGCAGGTCCTTGATCACCTTGACACTCTGGACCGCTCCGAACGGGCCGAACAGCTGCCAGAGGACATTTTCCTCCGTCTCCGGGGCCAGGTTGTAAACGAAGATGCACCAGCCGGAACCGTTGATGGCGTTGGCCGAGAGGACTGAAGTACCGAGGTCACCGGTCAACGGTGAGTAGCGGCTGAAATTAGAGGGAAGGCTAAAAGAATTTACGAGAGAAGCAGACGTGAGTGAGGTTGCGTTAGCTGGGTTTGGGGCGGTGAAAGCTCAAGCGGTTCGCTGGGATGATTTGTGTCGGGTGCTTGTCAGAATATACAGTGTAGTCGACGATGGGCCTGCTGGAGTTCATGATCCGATACTGTGCACTTTATACCATACACATTGGAGTATATTTAACCCTGATCGGTAAACACTGAACTACTGTTGGGAGTGAAAAGTTGACAAACGGATAACATCGCCATCATGGCGATGTTGTTCAGTTGTCAACTTATCACTAATCACCCGACATAGTTTAACCATTTTTGAATAGGTTCAGTTTTGAACGATCTGAATGGATTCTACCCAAATTTGGGCAGCTTGAAATAGCGTGAAATGCAGTGCACTTTCTCACACAAAGGCCCGGCGAAAATTTGAAGATGGAAATAGAATTGGGTGTGATATATCTATAGAAGCTGGTTTGCGAGCTATCTATTCTCAAGTTCAGAACAGATCTAAAACGCTGTCCAGACTGGAGAGTTATAACATGTTATAACGGTTGTCAAATAATTGCAACACAGAAACCACCATCAAGATAGCGCTATAACATGTTATAACTCTGTAGTCTGAACGTACTATAAGAGACATTGAACTCATTATTTCGTGGACTTGATGTCTCGAATGTCTAGCGGACTTTCTTTCAAAGCTTATTGGACTTTATTTTCAGATAGCTTATCCTGGAAGCAGGCATGGAAAAAATCATTCACGTAACGTTCAATTTGAAATTGAACAGTGATAAACAATCTTAGTAGATTTAACGGTAATAAGCGTGGTTATATTGAAAATAAGTGTTTTCTGCAAAATACTATTCCTAACTATGGTCCTTGTTTCAGTGTGGGCTTTCTTCGGTTAGCGTGAAAAGGACCTAAAAAGTTGTTTTAAAAAGTTGGTAGGCCATTTCTACAGTTACGCGAGCATGGACGAGTGCACCGATGAATTTGAGTTCACTCACCCGAGAAAAAGTGACGCAAGCTGCGGCCAATGTTTACTAAACATGAACACTAAATGTTCATGAATAATGAATAATGAACATTTAGTGTTCATGATTAGTAAACATTGCCCGCAGCTTGTGTCACTTTTGCTCGAGTGAGTGAACTCACATTCATCGGTGCACTCGTCCAATAGACGAGTGCACGGATGGATTTAAGTTCACTCACTCGACAAAAAGTGACACAACAGCGGGGCCCTGTTTACTAAAAATGAACACATATGTGTTCATTTTTAGTAAACAGGGCCCCGCTGTTGTGTCACTTTTTCCCGAGTGAGTGAACTCAAATTCATCGGTGCACTCGTCCAATACGATGTAAACATTGTGATTTTGTCGTCTCTTTCATTCGCCCTCTGTTTGAATGTTTGATGAAGTGATGGAGAAACATTCACATTGCCTCCCGTATGGGGACCCACCAACCAAAGGATTTTTCGGTTTCAATAGAGGGAAATTTAGCAGTTAAAAAAGGAAGCAAGACAAGATGAGGATGATGATAATGTCACGGTTTTGAGGTGTTCCAAGTCGAAGGTGGAAGTGGTTGCGAAGACAAATGAATTTCGGCCGATGGCTTGATTTCGGAAGTATTCAGTGGGGAATGGAGGTCTAGATCCTCTGGAAGAAATTCGTTGGTTGGGAGCTTCATACGAAGAGATTCAGAGTGTGCTACTGCTGAGGATGATTGGGGGAATGTATAATTTAAGTGGGTTAATATTAGTCCCGCACAACTTTTTGAAAATATCATAAAGCAGCTGCTGCTGGCTAGGGTTGATGCATATATTATGTCACGGTCTAAGGGGAGAGGGGGGGTCTAAGATTTTGTGACAAGCAATGCATTAGGCATAGGAAAAACGTCACGATATGGGGGAAGGGAGGTGGTACTTTTTTGCTCGATTTAGCGTGACATAATTAATGCATGGACCCCTAGTTGAACGGTCCGAAATGCAATAAAGAAAGTGGCAGCCAGTCAAACCGTGATACACACTAAAAATTACATGAGAGAACGGTTAGATAATTCACTCATCACTGACTCATTCAAGATTATCGATGAATAGCGGATGAAATCGGATGATATCAGCAAGCGCGTATTATTATTCTTTACGAATCAAAGAAATCTCGATGAACATTTCAAATGGTCCTATCTGCTTTGATCGATCCTCTTCATCGACTTTCTCTTTTCATAACCACTGCTATGCAAACAGATTTCGCGCTAATTCTACCACATAGTTTGATAAAGGAGATTCTTATCTAGCGTCCAAAACGTCAAATACAACAGGGAAAGGTTTTGCAGCTGAGTTATTAACGAAAGAGAAAGTCGATGAAGAGAATCGATCAAAGCAGATAGGACCATTTGAAATGTTCATCGAGAAATCTACAAAAATCGAATTTTTTAAGCAAATTTGATTGAAATCCGTTAAATGAAATGTAGAATGGATTACTTTCGTCCCCCTCGACGTAAACATGAAAAGGTTGACAGCGTTCATTGATGTTTATGTTCATGCGTTGATTCATCTCACGTTAGTTGCTTCACAATCAGAATGATTGTCAAATGGATCGCAAATGAATGCATGGACGAGTGCACTGATGAACTTGAGTTCATGCACTGACGAAAATTTGACAGGAGAACGGGGCAATGTTAAATTAAAATGAACACTAAATAATCATTGGTAATGATACATTGCCCCGCTTTCCTGTCAAATTTCCATCAGGCGTGGGCGTACTTCGGTTCGCGCGAAAGGGGCTATCCATTTGTAATAGACACATTGTGCATTGGTCAATTCTTCCTTTTATAAAGATTCTTCCACAGACAAACAGACATAACACTCGCAAGTTTTTCATCGTACAAGAATTTAACGGTCAATTTAAAAGTATCGTAGTTGGTAGTACCGCCACCTGTGGCGCGCATAGTCAATTCCCTTGCGTTTGACGTTTACACACTACCGCCATCTGTTCAGCGTATTACCCATCACAGTGTACCCTACAGATGGCGGTAATGTTTTAGCGACGATGTTTTACAGTGACCGATATTCAATGTGCTATGTCTGTTTGTCTGTGATTCTTCGCTAAACATTCGGATCGCATAACGACGGCAGATTGATATTGGCACACTCAAAAGTCAACCAGATGTGAAACTTGCCGGACTAAAGGGCCACGCACCATAGATCCGTTTGCGTTACGTTGACGTAAATTTGACAGTTAGACAATGGACGAGTGCACCGATGAATGTGAGTTCACTCACTCGAGAAATGTGACACAAGCTTCGGGCAATGTTGGCAATTGTTGTTAATACCCCGTACAGACTATGGCTTATATCATGTAATATACGCTGTCTTGCAATGAGCACTTATACATTTAGTTTTTACTGGAAATCCTATGCATGAGTGCTCATTGCAAGACAGCCTATATTACATGATATAAGCCATAGTCTGTACGGGGTATAACCACAGACAAACAGACGTAACTCTTCATTGTGTATCTTCGTTCATGCATTTAACGGTTGATTTGAATATTATCAGTTCCGCGAACTACTCGCCGCAGCGCTGGCATCGGATCACTTTGACGTTTCTATATATTCTATAGAAATTTTATGCAATATTGTTTACGAGTTAGCGAGCAAACTTGTTTTCCACGAGAAGCCAGATAGATGTCGTTACTGAGGTTATATGTTTTGAGATACTATGTTTTCAAGAACAAGTTTTTCAAAGAGTTACGTCTGTTTGTCTGTGGTATAACCCACAATCAATACGAAACTAACGATTTTAAATTGGCCCACTACTTGACTAGCCTATTGGTCCCAAGCAAATCGACTAACGTACCCCATTATAGTATAAATTCCAGTACTACACTATGTTTGTTTTGATTCGCTATGAAAGTTTGACAGATCAAATGAGGGGTTAGTGGATTTTCCTATGTTTCGAGGGGTGAATCGATGAGCTTGGGACCGAAGATCGTACCAGAGCTGAGCCAAAAAGTTGAGCATGTTTCTTCGGGACCTTCTAGTCTTAGAGTTACCTCTATGGTATAACAGTTTCTTATACCCCGTTCACATTACAGCGTATATCACGTGATATAAGCTGTCTTGCAGTTTTCACTGGAAATCCTATGTATGAGTGCTCATTGCAAGACAGCCTATATTACGTGATACAGGCTGTAATGTGAACGGGGTATTATGGGAATTTTCCGTGGAGTGAAAGGATAGTACGAAGTCCGCCATGTTTCACGCACAGTCTGACGTTTGCTTATGGATTTTAACATTGAAGTTAAGAGGTACAGAGTCGCTGTCAACGCCAATAGCAAAAACAAACTGTCATAGCTGCAAAAAGTGTCATTTTGCGAAATGAAAATTCACAGTAGGCGAAAATTGTTGTAAAATCGGAGTCTGGAGGAGAGTTCAGATGAAGTGTGGTATCTTGATTGCAACTTCTCACATCAGAAACAATACCAACATTCTAAAACAGCAGGATGAGTCTAAATTGACGATTATTTTAAAGAGCCTGATTTTATAAAGAGACGAAATCTTATCGATTTGACAGGTCTTCTGCTCGATTGAAATAACTTTTTCTATAACTTTGACAGGTAATTGATTGTTCCAATTTTGGCAAGTCGTCTCTTTATAAATTATTCAGACTCTTTAGGCTCTGAACCATTTGGCGAATTTATTAACTTTTGGTTAAAATTTGACAGATGGAAAGTTATCGATTAACCCTGCTATCCGAGCATGGTTATTTATGACAGACAAGAAGTTAAATTGGACAACCGTGGCTCGAAAACCGATCGATCGACAGCACGGGGATTTTCGAACATAGAAAATAACTGTCACAACTCAGCAAATGGTTCACAGCCTTAGTTTATTTGTCTGGCTGATGGTAAATTGCTGGTGCTGGTTACGAGTAGACTGTTTCTATGAATCGTTTGCACGGAACTTGCTGTCCGTGAGCAGAATAACTGATTTGGCGTTGCAAGTGTTATCTGTGCTAAAAGGAGAAGAAGCTGTGTTATTGGGCAAACGGAAACGATGGTCTATATCATCTGAAACACCTGAAACCTTCTGAAGGTAGTGCGTGAGGACCTGGGACACGGGTTGAAAATGGGTTCTTGTGAAGTGCAGCCGATTTGTGCTGGTTACGGTTTTAACGGAAGATGTCCAGTGATTCTTTTCCGAAAGCGTCTACGACAATAAAGCCCAAGCGAGACGTGGTGTATAAGCGGAGAAGACTCAGAAGCTGCAGGTCTTCATCAACCGATGCCAGCGGTTTATAATTCGTGCCTGGTAGCCCACAACTGGATCTCGAATGCCGAGCTCCGTCTTCGATGTCATCAGAAGCCGATAGCAACAGAAATTCGAGAGCGAAAGTGGAGGTGGGTCGGCCACACACATTTATATGGGGTGGAAATGAAATCTGGGTCATTCCAGCTCAAGTGGGTACAGAATTTAAAAAAGTTGTGGTCGATGTCACCGATTTGAGCCAAATTTGGCCAAAACGCTTATTTTGGCATTCTGAACAAACTTCATTGTTTATTTTACTCTAAAGTGCCTAGATCCTTCTGGGCTACGACCCTGGATTTTCGAGATTTAAAAAAATAATCAACTTTAAGAAGAGATTACTCCACAACCAAATAAGCTATTCATGATATTAGAACGTCATTTAAAGGTTTTTGAATGGTAATTCACATAGAGGTACTCACATGTTGTTTTTTATAGTTACTACAGTAAACAGACTGATTACCAGCAGGTATCAAAATTGTCAAAAAATGGCCTTTTTCACCATGGGTGGGATTTTTAATTTCTTAATATTTTGGGCTCAAACATTCACCACACTTTGGAAAACTCTTCTACTAGATGTGTTTCTAAGGGCAAATGATTTGGACAAATATTTTTTGAGATAAGACCAGATGAGTGAGTGGTAGTTTTGAGCTTTTCTGGTGGAAAATCAATGAAAAATATTAAGAAATTAAAAATCCCGCCCATGGTGAAAATAGGCCATTTTTTGACAATTTGCCGGTTATCAGTCTGTTTACTGTAGTTACTATAGTAAAAATAAAATGTGAGTACAACTAAATTAAAAAACCTTCAAATTGACGTCTTAAGATCACGTATAGCTTATTTGGTTGTGGAGTAATCTCTTCTAAAAGATGAAATTTTTAAAAATCTCAAAAATGCAGGGTTGTATCTGAGAGGGATCTAGACACTTCAGAGCAAAATCAAAAAAGGCGTTTGTTCAGAATGCCAAAATAAGCGTTTTGGCCAAGTTTGGCTCAAATCGGTGACATCGACAGGTGGTGTATCCACTTGAGCTGGAATGACCCATCTGCAAGCAAGCGCTGGATTGGAATCAGGCAGGACGTCGCAGCAGAGGCAGACCCAGGGGCGCATGGCGGTGGAGCCTCAACAAGGAAATAAAGCATGTCGATAGGAATCTGACCTGGGTCCAGGTCAAGGCAAAAGCGTTCAGCCGCCCATGATGAAAGAACATCCCAACTAGCATTGCAAGTTTTATCGAGGTTTTAAAGCATTCTACAAGTCTAAATCATAGTCTACTGAACCTTCATAAAACCCAAATTGTTACTTGGGATGTTCAAAACCAAAATATCTCAAAATGTCCTTGACGGGTTTTTGAATTTTGTTTCAAAGAAAAATCCTTTTGAACTTTTGAAAAGTTCAAAACTATGGACACTTGAATACCGACAAAAATCGTAGAACAAGAACTTTTGGTATACTTATATACAGAATTTTTTCTAAGTATAAATTTAATGAAAAAATGTTTTAACAAAAATTAAAAAAAATTAAGAAAATAGTTCTTGTTCCACAATTTTTGTCAATTTTTAAGAGTCCATAATTTTAAATATTATAAAAGTTTGCTGAAAAATTTAGATTATTTTTTTTCATAAACCGATCATGGTAGTTTAGATATATTTAGATTATTTTTTTTTTAATTTTTATTGGAATTTACTACAAAAAACATTTTTATTGTACATTTTTCCCAGTAAAATATTATGTTTCTCTACAACTTTGTCTCAGACGTAATTTCGATCGGAAGGGCCGTTTCCGCGCTACAATTTTTTGAAAAAATTGAAAGATGCCTTTTTGAAAATTTTACTAGATTATAAATGGTCTAATTTTCGCAAAAATGTGAATCATTGCCCATAACAATGAATTATGCAAAGTTTCAGGCAAATCGGAGAAGGTTGAGTCGTTTGGCGTGGAACTCGTTAGTGACCTTAGACCGTTAGCCTAGCTTATGATGTCACGCAACAATAGATCCAATGGCTTGTTAAAATCATCCTCAAAAATCTGATCTACTCTAAGAGATCAGTTTTTCCAAGAAGTACTTCTCCACCTTGCATTGTTGAGTTTTCTAATTTTTAAAGCTTTCTTTCAGAGTAGAGCTAACCATCACCAACCGTGTCCTCAAATTAAAACGATGAGCGCTGCCAATGTTTCTTTGCATTCTGAAATATTTTGGATAAAGCCCACCAATTTGAGAAACTTTAAGTAACAATGATTACCCTTCTTTAGATAATAAACTCCGCCCTTTCGAAATGTTGCTGCCGAATGATTCTGACAAGCACGCCGTCCCAGGCAATTCGAATGATGTTCAAGCTTGCAACCTACCTGAAACGCCCGCTAAGCGGATGGATCGGCCCTGGTGGGAAACGTCGCAGGTTGGGCGTCGGGGTCAGATACGCGGCCAGCGGTGGAATCGCCTTGTTGATGTTATTGCTCGGGTTGTTGGCGAACTTGACGGTGATCGGTTCGGAAGCGCCCTTCGGTGTGGTACCGTTCAGCTGCTGGATGGCCCGCTCGGCTTCCGATCGCTGATCGAACCGGATGAAGCCGACGCCCTTCGATAGGCCGGTAATGTTGTCGCACAGGATGCGGGACGTGATGATCTGGCCGTACGGCTGGAAGAGCGCCTCCAGATCCTGCTGGGTCATGCTCTTCGACAGACCGGACACGTACAGATTGGCGCCCTTGATCGCATCCGAGCTGGGCCGAGCGAACGACACCTTGATCGTCTTATTCTGTAGTCTTAGTCCGTTAAAGGTATTTATTGCTTTATCCGCGTCCTCTGCGCGGTGATAGTTGACGAAGCCATAACCAAGACTTTGTCCTATTAAAAAATAATTAAAATAACAAGAATGGACCCCGTTATTGCACTATAGTCTTCCCCGGTTCCATGTACTTACCGGTAACTTTATCCCTAATCAGCTTGCAGCTCTCGACGTCACCGATGCTGGAGAAGAGCGACTTGACCTCCTCCTGGGTCATCGTCTGTGGCAGATAGTTAACGATCAGGTTCGTCTTGCTGTCTTCCTGGCCGCTGCCGATTGAACCGGAGCGACCGTTTTGCTGTACTGTCTCCAAACCGTTCGCCATCATTGTATGCTTCCGGTCTACCTTCTTTTGTATGTTTTCTAGTACGATACTTGTGTGGATGGATTAGCTGTTGCTTTTCTTTCTAAATCAGATACTCTTGCTCTAACAACGTGGTAAATCACTATCAACTTTTTTTTTAATCAGTTGCCGTTTCAGGGGAGTTTTGTGCTATGCACTCGCTGTAATCTAGCTAAAGTAGTGGAAATTCTTCTCTTATATAAAGGATTTTTTTTTAAATCTTATATCTGCTTTTGCTTTTGGAAAACGCACGCTTTCGCGATAACGGGGACCCCCGATGTTCTTTCGTCCGTTGCTAGGAGCGACCAATAGGAGAAGCTTCGATTCGCGGACGAATCTCAGGTGGCGGGGTGGTTTCTGCTGCTACTAGCGACGTACGCACACAGAGAGTTGGCGAAAATGCGCTCTGGTAATGTATTTTACTTTGTAGTGTTGTTTTAAATTTCACTCCTGGTTTGCCTTGGGTGTAGGTTTCTGTTTGTTGTTGTTGTTGTTGTTGCTGTTGTAGTGCTGCTAAGTGTTGATTGTCGTTAATCTGACTCTTGGTTTGCTTGAATTTTTCCTTTTTGTTGTTGTTGTTGTTGTTATTGGATGCTCAAGTATAGGTACACGCGTTCGGTTTAATCTCGTCGTCTCGAAATGCGGTTGTGCAAGGGTCGTTGTGGGGGGAGGGCTTACAAGTTTGACTCGTGTGGGATCCTCAAGAAAACTGACGAAACGTTTTGACCGCTATGTTGGGTTTTTTTTTAAATTTCAGTGGGTGGTAACGAAGTGCTTCTGACTTGCTCTCTATCGGGTATAGATTCGAAAACGGTCGATTTTGGATGACGTTGCTCGTCTCGGGTTAGTGCGACCGGGTTGAGTGGTGATTTCTGGGATAAAGTCCTCGTCTTTTCAAGTTTGTTGTTGTCGTTTTTGCTAATTTATTTGCTAAGTTTGGTTTTATATTGTAAATAGGAAGCAATTGATCCTTTTCTTATCTCGGTTTTTTCGCTATAAATATTGTATATTGTTTTTTTTTTATCTTGACTTTCTTATTTCTCTTGTATATATCTCGCGTTGTTGCCAAGGAAAGAGATCCAAATCCGAATATCTGGAAGAAGGAAAGAGAGTTTATGGTGATAGTCAATAGACTGTTGTCTTAATCTGTTTAAATGTGAACCATTGCGACCCTGCGATATGAAATCAAATAAGGTTAAGTAAACTAATTGTGAAGACCCGGAATGGATTTTTTTTTTTTAATTTTGATTATTCAAAAATAATCGAAAAATGTTTATTTAAACAAAATGTTCGATACGAACAATATCCATGCACAATCATAGACTTCATACCATTAGTTTGTCAGATCATTACAGATTGTAAATGAAGTTCCTCGCATTCTGAAGAACTGCAGTCGACTGTGTAGTAGAGTGTTTCATTAAAAAAAAGTGTCACACTTCTGATTGGCCACCCTTCAATTTGATTCATGAAATCTGCTTTTAATCATCCTTGAATTGACAATTGAAATAGCTTTAGTCCGGGAGTTAGTTTGTGATAGCTCTACTTCAGATCCAGCATCCCATATCCGAATGCCTGGTAATTCACGTCCATTCCTAGGTCACTTTCACATACAATAAGCGCCACATCTAAATACTACCGTTATCATAAAAACAACGGTGCTGCAAACACTCTGCCAGGTTTCAAAACGTAAAGTAGCGAAATCCGGCACGTATTTAGTAATATTTAGGAATAGGCATATATAATTAATTTATAATCAGATTGATCCCACCAAATTCCGCCTTCGAAATCTTAAAAACTCTGTCTATCGTGAAGTAATGAAAATGGGTTGTTAGCAGAATGCTTGAATAAAATTGGTATCCATGACAAATACGTATTTCGACTACAGAAGGAGTAGGCTTTGCTTATGATCGAACCTGACGTTTGTTTTTTTCCATGGGGTTTTTTTGTAATCAATAATCGGTTGCTGATCTGGCCAAAACCAGGCCCAGGAGACAATTTCTAGTTCCTCAGTCCCTATTACTTGCCGCTGAGAAGCTGTTCCGAAGCCAATTAGAACCTCCACGAGGCGTCCCATCATTCGTCCCATCATTAGTTCCATCATTCATTGAGTCACAGCGTTGAACCTGACTATTGGCCACGAAAAGGCTTGCCAAATGCACATTAAAAATCGACTACATACATCCGAACATTTGTTTATTTCAAATCGACGGAAGTAATTCCACGCAACTACCATAAACCGGACTAGTTCATGTTGATCTTCGTCAAGTTTCGTCTACAATTTGGACTTCTACATCAACACCTGTCAGGCAACCTTCAATTGGCTAAACTTGGTGAGTTCGTTCCATTTTGTAAATTTTTATCTTTTCAACCCAGTAACGTTGGGAGGTAATCTTTTTGTGGTGCGTTACTGATATAAGATCTACCACCGAACTCTAGTCGTGACAACTTCCAACTAGGGAATCAGGATTTTCCAGTAATCAATGGATCACATTTTAGTGCTTGTTACTTTTTATGACTTGATAATACTGATATCACTCGGGTAGTGACCACCGCCGTTATGCATTTCTATATTATGTATGCTGATTTTTCCCGAATTAAAGCTCAATCTCAAAAACTAACAACACAAACAGGTTGGTTTGTGGTTTTCAGTAAATGAATCGGTATTTGTTTTATTGATGTTACGAAAAATTGCTCCCTAAAGGTGTTTTATCGTTATAAAAGCAATTATTAAACCGTTAGGTTTCAAACGGGATCAAAAAGCATATATTGATGCATTTTGGTGTCAATGAAGTTTATCACAAAACCTGCAACTGTAATAAAACTAAAAAGATGGATCCGCCCAGAGACAGAGAAAAACATAATCGAGTGGGGCTTTCAAACGCAGATTCACAAGGAAATGCCAAAGGATAATCGAGTAATAGGGGAAATGTCTCTAATGTTGGCCTATGGATCTAAGATTGAGCCCATCGCTAAAAATCTGCTATTTATCAATTTTATCTAGATGAACGCGTTATTGGGACGTTACTAATGGATATTTTTGGTTGCTATTGAAAATTTAGTCGATTGCTGAATTTATGTATGGGCCTAAATTAGCGACACTTAGGCCGACATTACCTGCATTTCCCCTAATTCTAGCAATGCTGTCGAGGGAAGAGAAAAGGCATCCAATTCCAGAACTTTCTGTTCCAAGGTACGTAGATACACTTCCTGATGTAACTGCTTCCAATAGATGAATTGCCCTTATCAATAATGTCATGCAACATGTTGATCCAACGCTGGAGTAGAACATCGTTGCAATGATCGCACAACAAAACTGTGGAAAGATAAACAAATTTTGACGTTTAACTTTTTCCAGGCAACTTTGCCAACATTTTTTGTTTGTTTCAAGATCATCCTAGGTCCAAGCAACTCGGGGACTTATCACTATCAAAAAAGAAAAAAAAGTAACAAGGACTAAGATATGTTCCTTTGATTATTGAAAAATCCTGTTCCCCTAGTTTGAAGTAGTCAAGACTAGGAATCGATGGTAGATCTTACATCCCGTAACTTACGGTATCATTACATTACATTACATGACATTACATATTACATCCCCACGTTACGGGGCTTTCCACCATTAATGCCGTCATAAAACTAAACAGAATAGGATCAAGCAAAATGGATTCAGATAAAAACAGTTCAGTCTGCAAATTATCTTTATAAAAGCCGCATTAATATTTTGCATTTGTTAGCGATTTCATGAAAGCAAAACAGTTTAGGGAAAATTAATGTTTATGCTATCGTCATATTGTTATTTGCTTTTTTACAATCTTCGTTTTTCAAGGTGTTTTTTCCTTTAAAATAACTTTATTCTCGTCAATTCATCAATGAGCAGTAAAAGAGATTACGAAAATCATCAAATTGTCTCGGTTGGGAGTAATGATTAACATAACAAATAACTATATTTTGTTTCCTAAATTAAAAATAATTAGGGGAATTTACGTATTCTCGGCAACCTAAGCAGCGACCGTCTTTCTATAGCCTTTTTCTCTAAGGAACGCACACATATGCAGTATTGGCTTATTTACAATCTTTTGCTGCCAGCTGCTCTAACAATTTCAGTCGAAAGAATTATCAAAAACTGTTTTGAAACGCTTTTACAATGCTCCAATCTTCTCTAGTGAGAGCGACTATTGTGGGCAACCTCTTTTTATTCGGCAACCTTTCTATTTGAGCTGCGTGTTAAACAGCTGTGTTTTCATCGGCAACTCGAAATCAGCAGCATTTTGTAGTGAGTGTGTTTCATTTCAAGAAAACCCTGATAGATTGGTTTTTCTCAGTGGTAAACATATAATCAAATTGAAGCTGAAAGCCTAATGAATAGTTTTATACCCCGTTCACATTACAGCCTATATCACGTAATATAGGCTGTCTTGCAATGAACACTCATACAAAGGATTTCCAGTGAAAACTAGATGTATGAGTGCTCATTGCAAGTCAGCGTATATCACGTGATATACGCTCTAATGTGAACGGGGTATTAATGCATTCAGCGAAGTGTTTTCTTAAGAAAATCCAGTGAAATTACCGTTTCAATTTGGGTTGCCGAAAATAGTCTGTCATGCCGAAGCCGTCATTTCCCCTAGTCAAATAAACGTTTTCCGAAGGCGGAATTATTTTTTTGATCTACCGAAGCACATTTCACGTTAGATTTAATCTGTCACCTAGAAATAGACCACAATACAAGGGGTAGGTCACTCCGCACACCAATCTTGGGTCATCTTTATGTCAGTCTGCCGCAGGAGTGCTGATTGTGCTAGTGCCAGCAAGCTGCGATTGTTTGTAAAATACCCATCCCAAAAACCCGGTATTTCTGACATCTTGAATGGTTTGGTTTGAAATCGCAAGGATAAATCGGATTGAGGATGACGCGGGAAGTGGCGGGTGTGCGAAATTTTGGTGAATTAAGGGTACTAATGGGGTCTGATTAACAGCCTCTTTCTCTTGAGCCCACTCTAGAACCTACAGTTCGTATTTAGATTTATAAGTGAACTGCTGGTCTGAGTTCCTCTGGTATACAAACAGCACGTAATGTTGTGAATAACTTCAACGAATAACCCTACGAGATTGTGCCGAAAGTGTGCCGAAGGTATGTCGAAAGTATGCCAAAGGTGTGCCGATGGATGTGCCCAAGCTGTCCCGAATCTAATTTTGACACAATGTGCTGAGTGACAATAGGAGTTTCGATAATTTTAGTATTTTGTTTTTGTGTATCCCTTTTTGATGCTTTAATTTTTGGTGCGCTTAGCAAGGGTCAAATGCAAATGGCACAAGTATTGATGCCAAATGGCGTTTTTTTGTACTTTTAATAAGGATTTCAAATGGCTCTCAATGTATTCGTCATTTAACTTTTATGTCATTGAAAGTCATTCTTGAAATGTCTCAATAATACACTCTTCTTCAGGGTGAGCCAACTACACAGATTCTAATCTTAACGAGGTTTTGGTGGATGTAATAAAGGCAAAACTATCTTGACCAGGGGCCTCCCTTAGCTCAGCCGGTAAAGGCAAGACCATGCTGGAGGTGGCTGGGTTCGATTCCCGGTTCGTTCTAGGAATTTTTCGGGTTGGAAAATTTCTCGACTTCCCTGGGCATAGAAGTATGATTGGACTTGCCACACAATTATACCAATGCAAAAGTGGTACAGGCATCGAAAGCTCTCAATTAATAACTGTGGCATCTAGAACACTAAGTTGAGAGCACGCAATGAGCTAATATGCGATATGCAATAAGCTTGAAATGCTAAGAAGAAGAAGAAGAAGAAGAAGAAGAAGGGTTTTTTATGAATGTTGTTTTATTAAAGCCTTGTAGTACTTCATAAAACGTTAAATGTTACTTGAGGTCGAAGCTGCCTAAACCTTATGTGGATTTTAGAACTCTTACCATTTCAGCTTTTCCTTGACGTTTTCGCGCTCAAACGAATTCATCAGCTGGTTTTGTTATGTAAATATGATCAGCTGAAAGCTTGAGAACAAAGGAGTCAAAAGTAAACATCCGAAGAAGTGTCATTGAAACCAAGCGTAAGATATATTCCAAGATGGGAACGGTAAGAGT